GGGGGGATTTTGGTGTTTTTTGGGGGGATTTTGTTGGTTTTGAAGGATTTTGGTCTTTTCTTGGTGTTTTTGGGGAGGTTCCAGGTGGATTCCAGGCGATTTTATGGAGCTTTTTTAAGGAATTTCGGGGTTTTTCGGGGTTTTTAGGGAGTTCTTGGGATGCTTTGGCTGGATTTGGGGTGATTTTCAGGATTTTTGGTGTTTCAGGCTGTTCTCAGGCAGTTTTTAGGGAGCTTTTCGTTATTTTTAGGTATTTTTAAGGATTTTTTGGTTACGATTTGAGTGTTTTTCATTGTTTTTGATGCTTTAGGGAGTTTTCAGAGAGTTTTCAGGCAGTTTTTTTGCTATTTTGAGCTATTTTTTACCAGTTTTGGGGACGATTTGTGCGTTTTTGCCTGTTCAGGCAGTTTTCAGGAACTTTTAAAGAGTTTTTCCCATTTCTATGGAGTTTTCAGCCCATTTTGAGTTATTTTTACATCATTTTTGCCATGCTTCATCTCCTATTTTATATTTTGATATTTTTCCCCCTATTTCCCGGTTTTTTGTGGGTTTTTTGGGATGCTTTGTCTGATTTTCACTATTTTTGTTGCTTCGTGCTGTTTTCAGCGAGTTTTTAGGGCGTTTCAGGCAGTTTTTTGGCGAATTTCAGGTACTTTTTGCCAGTTTTTGGGGACGCTCTGCCTGATTTTCACAATTTTTGATGCTTTGGGCTGTTTTTAGCGAGTTTCTACGAAGTTTTAATGAACTTTTGGGATTTTTACGGCGTTTTCAGCCCATTTTGATTTATTTTTATGACCTTTTTTGTGATGCTTTATCTCCTGGGGCTCCTTTTCAACTCTTCCCCACCATTTTTTCCTTATTTCCCGATTTTTTGGGGTGCTCTGGGTGGTTTTCACTATTTTTGATGCTTTGTGACGTTTTCAGGGAATTTTTAGGAATTTTTTCGAGCTATTTTGAGGTATTTTTACAGCATTTTCAGCCCATTTTGAGTCCTTTTTCTGTCATTTTCCAAATCCTTTCCCCATTTTTCGCACCTTTTTCCTGTCCAGGCCCCTTTTAGACTCTTCCACGCAATTTTTTTCCCTATTTCCCGATTTTTTGGGCTTTTTTTGGGGATGCTTTGTCTGATTTTCACTCTTTTTGTTGCTTCGTGCTGTTTTCAGCGAGTTTTTAGGGCGTTTCAGGCAGCTTTTTGGCGAATTTCAGGTACTTTTTTGCCAGTTTTTGGGGACGCTCTGCCTGACTTTCACAATTTTTGATGCTTTGTGCTGTTTTCAGCGAGTTTTTGACCCATTTCCAGGTATTTTTACAGCATTTTCAGCCCAATTTGAGCCCTTTTTCCGTCATTTTCCCGGCTCTTTTCTCCTTCCCTCGCCTTTTTCCTCTCCGCGCTCCTTCCATCCTCCCCCACACCCC